CTCCAACCCATGTGTGAAGAAGAAAACGGTAGCTGGCAAAGTGAGACTCTGCCCAGATAAGAATAAGATCTTGTGATCTGGGTTACAGCTCTTAATAGGCCTTTTCAGGAAATTCCAGGCCTGAAAGGGTTACTTGCAGACTCCAGCTCTCAGTGCCAGCCTTTGCCCCCCCCCCCCCCAAAAAAAAATCAGATATATAGCTGGACTGACAGAGCAGCAGAAATAGCTTGGAGAGAGGTCTGCTGCTGACATAGCTAAGTGCCCTGGAAACTCCTGCCTGTTCCTTTGGAAACGGACAATCTTAGCATCCAGATTTTGCCATTATTGTTGCTCCTGAACAGGCAAAACCAACAGGATAAAAGGAGAGTTTAAGTCAGTCTGGAGACATATTCAGCTTTCCCTCTCAGGGAAAAGTACATTAAAACAGCAAGTCAAGGTACCCACAGAGCCTGCTCAGGGCAGCCCATGACGTAAATTGCCACCTTTATTATCTGGGAAATTACTCATTTCTGTTGGCTCTTCCTGGCACTAGGTGTATGGGGGGAGGGGAGCAAGTGAGATCACCGCTTACTCCAGGCCATATTTAACTTCTATGAATATTACTCACCTAGTTCATAAACACCCCTAGAGCTATTTAATTTTCATTACTCCCCCAACACCTATGGCTGCTTGTACCTGCCATACATAGCCTTCTGTGAATTCTTCTACCTATCCACTCCCACATGCAGAAGCGAAACACGGACAAGTCAAAATCACTCATCACACTCACACCTGTGAGGACTGCCCTGCCCACACAACCCTCTTCCTGCGCCCAAACTTGAAACTCCTTCTCCAAGGGAAGAGTTGGAATCAGAAAGCATTTCTTAGCTAGTAGGAGAGTGGGGGACTCACTTTAGAGAACTGCATTATCTTTTTGGCCTGCTTTGGCCTTAAAAAAACCCCATTTTTTCTTGCACACTCTCAGTGAGCAGAATCATAACCCTCACCACCCTGCTGTTTTTGCTCCCCAAGACCACTCTCATTCTCCTGCCGCAGTAAGCTTGTATTAACATTACTCTGGTGATTCAGCATCTTGGACTGGAAATTCCACCTCCCCTCTATTGAAAAGAAATAAATATAATACATCAGTATGTGTTTGAGGGATAGTATGCATGCACAAACTGCAAGAATAGTATTTTTGTCTCCTTTAAACATACTGTCTCTCTGGCTCAACACCAGCGGCAGACCTTTGAACCCCATCCCAAGATCAAGAGGTTTCTGGAAAAGGAGATTGTACTTTTGTGGACAACAACAACATACTCGCCTCAGTCTGGTGCTGTACCAAGTACCCAGACAGGCCCACCCAGCTCATTCACCCAAATCTTGGTAAAGCAAGCCAGATCAGTTCCTTCATCCATCATGAAGGGATCAGTCAGATTAGTCCCTTCATCAGCCCCTATACCAGGGGAGGTGGATCCCTGTTGGTTATCCTGGATCTCTCAGCAGCTTTAGATACCAGAGACCATGGTACCTTCCTGGAGCAGCCCTGCAAACTGAGAGTTGGGAGCACTGTACTGTGATGGTTCTGCTATCTGCAGAGTAATTTTTGGCTCATCATCAAGCACCTACCTTGTTCCCCCACACTTTTTAAACACATATGAAACTGCTGGGTGAGAAGATCCAGGCATTTGTGAATGGCACTCAGCTCTATTTGTTTATACCACCTGAGTCAGGTGAAGCCCAAAGTCTGGCAGCCGTCAAGGGCTGGATGAGAACCAATAAACTGGAGCTGAATCCTGACAAGATGGGAGGTGGTTCCTATCCCCAGGAACAGGGTAAGCAACCTGTTCTAGAGGGATTCACACTCACTGATATGGAGCAGGCAGTGCTTCTTGATTCTAAGTCGAGACTGGATGTCCAGGAAGGCAAGGTGTGCACATGCCCAGCCAGGGCTGCCACCTTGCCCCCATAATTGAGGGACCCCCCAGGGCCCTGTGACATCAGCATGCTCCACAGCATGCTCGCAGTGTGCACACACGCCTTGTGGTGTGCTGGTGTCACTCACGCATGCCCCAAGGTACGGGCACCCCGTGGCTTGTGTGCATGATGCAAGCATGCCCCATGGTGTGCATGCGTGTCACCACAGAACTTTGTGGGGTCCTGGCTTTGCGGGGCTGCCCTCTAAGAGTGTCGGGAAGCTGCAGATAGTGCAAAATGCAACAGCTCAGCTGCTGTATGGGATCCCAAAGTGAAACGTATTACAACTATTCTTTGGGAATTGCACTGGGTGCCTGTATACTATCAATACTTGTTAGGGCACCTTTCCCAGTAGGTCCTGCTCAAGGATTAATCTTTCACCCAGCATTGTGGTCCTCATCATAATGGCTGTCTCTGCAGGTGCATCTGCTGTGAAAATTCAAACACGGCTATTCTTCTATCTCAACTTGTTTGGTTCTAAGACAGAGCTCAAAACTGCTGGCATTGAGCTCTAAAGCCAACAAGTGGGGTATCTCTTGCGGAAATTTCAGGGTACAGCCTAATCCTCGGTGTCAGAGGGAACGTTACAGGGTGCATGAGACTATGACAGTAGGTGTTTTCCAATTTCACTCTCCTATGGAAGTTGGAGGCGCAGCTGTGATGAGAGTGGCTTTGGCCCACCTGGTACACTCCAGGTATTCTGGACTACAAGTCCCATCAGCCCCAGCCAGTATGGCCAAGCTGGGAGTTACACCAGGTTGGCAAAAGCTGGAGAAGAGGGCTCTATCCTTGTCCCCTTTTTCTCCAGCCCAAGCCATTCAGCTCTTCAGCTGGAGCTTTAATAGCCTCTATTGTCAATTGCATAATGGTACCAATTCCCAGCCCCCACCTACACACAGAGAGAGGGAGAGAGAGAGACATGCAGTCTTCACCATCTGCTGCACAGAGCAGCACCTGCCTTTCGGTGCACTTTCCATTGCTAACGTCACTGGGGAAATCTTCTTATATAGTAAGCGGAGCCAATATCCCAGAACAGCATACGATTAAAAATAGCCTCTTGTTGCATGTGGAACCCTACTTGCTCTATAGACTAAACAACAGAGAGGCAGATAAAGAGTTTGCAGGTGGCTAGCCTGCGAACAGTTACAGCACGGAGCGCTGAAATCTACACTCCTGCTCTCGGATGGGGGAGGGATGCTGCAGATATAGGGAAGTTAAAAACTCTTTTCAGTATCATGCAACACAGCCAAAATGGACTGCTCACACATTTCCTGTTACTTCTAATAAATGCTCCCTTTTGAATACTTTCAGCAAGTTCTCTTCCCACTTCCTGGTAAAATTGCTTCCCATCATAAGTGCTCTTCCTTACACCACCATCAAATCAAGGGGTTGGAAGGGACCCCAAGGGCCATCTAGTCCAACCCTCTACAATGCAGAAACATGCAGGTGGCCTTTATGGGGATCAAACCCACAACCTTGGCATTATCAGCACCATGATCTAGCCATCAGAGCTAACTGGAATATTTTGTTTCCTTTAATGTAATGAAGTGTGGTACAGTCTGCTAATGCTACTATAATTCCATTAGTCCTTAAGGTGCTGCAGGATTCTTTGTGTTTACTTTAACAGACTAACATGGCTGCCCCTCTGTAATTTTGGTTCTTCTGTGCCCACATTGTTCTTTTCTGAGCAAATCCCCTTTGAACTACTACTAAGTTATTCTGACCAGTATCCCCAGATAGGTGTTTAATCTTGTTCAGGGGGTATATCTTTCCTGACAATGGTTCCTAGGGTGCAACAGGTTACAGACAACTCTGGCGTGGCCAAAGATGGCCTCACAATTCTCTGGGCCAAGTCCAGAATCTTGGTGCTTTTTAGAGCTTCATTCCTTAGGCACAAAACAATGCACAATTCTATAGCCATTCAACAGAAGAGAAGGTCACCATGGACTGAATGCATTATAAACCATTTCGACGCAGGATAAATTAAACAACAAGGCACCAGTATACATGCCAAGAATTTCTAGAGGAAACTTGGCATTTATTATCTGCGTGACTCATTTGAGGACGGGAATGCACAGAAGAGATGCTGTGGAACGGTTTGATATTTCCCAGGCAAAAGGATACGGAAGTGTTAACTTCCTCACCTGGGGGTAAGCCCCACTGAGCATGCAGGAGAATGAGCTGTTCCTTTCTTTCCACCCACACCCTCTTGCACACACAAACACTGCACACAGCCTCCCTTCATCAGCAGAGCTGTTATCCTAGCCAAACGTCTCCCGGTAAAGGGATTAATCACTTCTAGGATGTTATCCCTATGGTCTCATTTCTGGGGAGGTAATTCTCGCTTCCCCAAAACAGTGTCCATTCCAAAATGGATTCCCTGCCTTCTTAACTCACTAAAACTTATTCTAATCCACAGTTTGTCGGCTGTCAGACTCAGAACATATTTTGAACAGAAATAATGTTAAACTCTGAGCATGTTCAGAGTACATTCCTCTCACAGCTAACAGGCTCCCCCCCCCCCACATGTGCACACACCACACAATCTTGGGATTGTACAGCAGCATTTCCTACTTAAAGACTATAATGTCTACAGTGGTTTGAGCCCCAGAACATCTCAATTCAGAAATCAAGCACTGAAACCCAGTCTCCCCACCCCTGCCGCCCTTTAATTCCAGGATCTACCACTGACTCTCACAATCTTCATGCAAAGATAAAGCATGCAGAGCTCCAAGACACCCCAAAGGCTCTCCTCACCAATTAGAGCACATTCTTGCCCATAAGCAACACAACTATGGGGGGGGGAATGTGAGGTTTGAGTTCAGGGAGGTGAACATGCTTTCTTTGCTTTGCAGACACTGACTTATTTCTGCAGGGGGAAACTATCAGCTCTCCTCTTCTGCTTGACAGTGACTGGGAACGATCACAGAGCAATCCAAAACACGTCTATTCAGATCTAAGACACAGCGCTTGTCTTATTCCTGCCCTGCCCTCTCCTGCAGATCCCTACCCACCTCACCCCCTTTCTCGCTCGAGGGACTCACCTGCGTCCGAGGCACCTGTGGGAAGAGATTGAGTGTTGTGGGCCGCTTGGGTCTGTAGGTGTCCATGGTCACTGGCGGGGGCTCCTTCTTGATCGGCTCAGGAGCCGTCCCTTCGTCGCCTGGGGTGTCCCCAGTAGCATCAATCAGGTCTAGCTGAAGCATCTCTGCCTGGAGCCGGCTGGCCTCCCCTCCACCCACTCCCAGAACGCCACTGGTCTGCAGATTCACATGGCTCTGCCAGGATATAAAACAGGGACGGAGGGAGGGAGAGAGAGAGGGAGGGAGAGAAAGAATGAGAGCAGTAATAAGGCTAGGAAGCGGAGGAGGGTGGGTCAGGCAGTCGCAATTCATCAGCAGCAACCGTCTCCTTGTGAAAGGGCATCAAAGCTCCAAATCAAAGCCACCTAGAAGAGAAGCTGTCGACTTGTCACCGTATCAAAGGCTCTTACAAACCACCCCTCACAGCAGCCCTAACAAATAATTGGGACACCGTACTCCCACCCCCTCTGTTTACTGTGTAACAGATAATTTCTGCAGGACAAAGTTGGGGGGAAATACAGATAAAAAATCTCAGCTGGTAAACCTGCGCCTGCACTTTGGGATGCAGGTGGAGGCTCACGTGATGAGACTGCTTCTTCATCCAAAGAACCCCTGAGTAAAGAAAACTAGATATTGGGGAAAGGGTTCTGACGTAGCCTTCTCAGTCCTCTGCTTGGTTTTCTGTATGCAGAGATTGGGTGCAATCGCCAAAGTCTTTTTTTCCTGGACACTTGCCCCCTTTCCACCCCCTTTTTAATTTTTAAAAATAAAATTGCCAAGCAAATACAGCAGAATGTTCACAAATTTAAAGTGCATACTGTATACAATGAGGGAGTCATTCGACCAGGAACCTCCTTGCTCATGTGAAATCTTTTAAACTGAGGCTACTTGCCAGACTTCTGACTTACCGATAACCTAGGATGCCCAAACAAAAAGTTTTCCAAAATTTAGGTACAGATGCTCTTGCTATTCTGTCACAATTCTAGCAACTAAGCAATCCAAACTTGGGTTTTGGGTATATTAGGAAGGGGAAAACTGTAACCTTCTAGATGCTCCAACTCCCATCAAGGATGATGGGAGCTGTAAGCCAGAAACATTTGGAGGGTCATAGATTCCCTACCCCTGGTGCAGAGGGCAAGTTCTAGAAAAACAAAAAACTGATCCTGACCTCAGCTGCCACCTACTGGAGAGTTCCTAGTAGTTACATTTTTAATCAATCAATGTACAGTCGTACCTTGGAAGTCAAACGGAATCCGTTCCAGAAGTCCATTCAACTTCCAAAATGTTTGGAAACCAAAGCACAGCGTCTGATTGGCTGCAGGAAGCTCCTGCAGCCAATCAGAAGCCGTGGAAGCCCCGTCGGATGTTCGGGTTCCAAAGAACGTTCGCAAGCCGGAACACTCACTTCCGAGTTTGTGGCGTTTGGGAGCCAAAACGTTCGAGACACAAGGCATTCGGAATCCAAGGTACGACTGTATTAATTTTCTATACTGTCCTTCATCTGGCAATCACAGGGCAGTTCGCAACATAAAAATACAAAATAAGAACACCGAATACATAATAAAACGAAGAGAAACCAATAATTCCTCCTCCCACAAACACATTTAAAGGGCCACAGAATGTTAATCAGCCAAAGGCCTGGTTATAGAGAAACGCTTTCGCTTGGCGACTAATGATATGTAATGAAGATGCCAGGTGAGCCTCCCGGGGTGAGCATTCCACAAACACAGAGAAGGCCCGTTCTCGTGTTGCCACCATCTGGAACTTTCATGGAGCAGGCACACGAAGAAGGGCCTCAGATGATGAGTACGGGATCCAAATCAGTTCACATGGGGAAAGGCGGTCCTTGAGGTATTGCGGTCCTAAGCTCTTTAAGGCTTTATAAGCAAAAAACATCACTTTGAATTGGGCCTGGAAACTAATTGGCAGCCAGTGCAGTCGGGCCAGGATTGGCGTAATATGCTCAAACTGTCTTGCCCCAATGAGAAACCTGGCTGCCAAATTCTTCACCAGCTGAAGTTTATGAACAGTCTTCAGAGGCAGCCCAACACGTTGCAGTAATCTAATGAATACGAATAGCTTAAGGAAGTAACACCAAGGCAATTTGGGCATGGCAATTTTTCCTAACTCTTGTTAGAACTCATAAGGAATTCAGTGGTATGCAAAACCAAATCCCCAAAGTGTCTCCACTGAAGTGCCTATGGATCATTCTGAAAATGTAAATATTATGCACTGGGTCGCTCTATGACACAGGAAATAGCTTTCTCAATGCCTTTCTGTGGTAAATAAGGAATCTTTAAGTCTTTAAGGTAACAAGAGCTTTAAGTTAAAAAGAAAGAAACCATTTGTACAGCTGTACAACCATTTTTTAAAAGCCCCAGAGTGTCTTAAAACCAAAGAGCTGAAAGGAGACAAAGATACACTGATTTTAACTCCTTGGTGCCAAACATACCCAGACTACCACCCGTACACTTCATCTCCTGACACTGTTCAGAACACATAAGGTGGCAGATGAAGGGAGCATGTGCTCCACAGAAAAGTCTTTGCAGAACACATAGATCCAGGTAATTCAAGCATGTGAGCCAAGCCCCATAATATGCTGGAAGACAATCCCGCTCCTTCTGGGTCAATAGCCACACTGACCTTGATGGAAATTTCTTTCTATCATCAATATGTTTACTAGCTAAGAAATGAGCCAAAGCTATCCGCCACATATTCCTAAAGACCACTTGCTGCACTGCAAAGCTATAGCCACACAATGGCTTCATTTGCATATAGTGCTCAACCAAACCATGGTTTTAGAGAGCACAAGAAAATGTGCAGGTACCTAGAAAGAAAAGCCTGGCTGCTTCACTTCTCCCCTGATCCTCCTCCTCCTGCTGCGTTATCCTGAGTTAATTCACAGACTCATGATTTGTGTCCCCCAAACACTCTTAGGAAGCAAGGCTGACAACTTAAAAGCTCTTGGTATGCTTGGGGTTCCCCATGCAAAAAGAGATTTTAAGCTCTTGGCCTTCCTTCTCAGCAAGGCCCACTCTGGCTCTGGGAATGATAGGGAAGCTCTCACAAAATCTTGCAGGACATCCCACAAGCTCTTGTGGGAGAAACTCCACCCTGCCTGTGTATAGGTGAAATTGCACATGTTAAATGTGTGTAAGATGCAGGCATACTATATACTACATAATCTCTCAAATTACAGAAGGGAAATCTGTGTGCCTTCCAGATGTTGTTGGACTCCAACTCCCATCATCCCTGGCTACTTTGCTAGCTGAGGCTGATGGAAGGTGGAGCCCAACATCCGGAGGCACACAGGTTCTCCATCCCTATTATAAATGCTTGCTTTTGTGCCATTCCCAGTTTGCCTTATGATGAGAGCTGCACTTTTCTCTCAATTGCCCGGCCTTGATTTGTGATCCATTTTCTAGATTTATGTTCTTCGTAAGTATAGATTTAATAATATGCAGCTCACTGAAGCTGCACTAAGAATTGCTGCATCATGATTTCCATGGACAACAGATCATTCAGACTTTTCTTTTTCTTCTCCTCCCTGGGGTTTAATGGCACAGCAAGGCCAACGAAATACTACAACTCAAGGTTCTTCGCGAACTTTTTTGTGTGTGCTTAGCCCTATCACTCTAGCTTCACTATCTTTCCATAGCACCATTTATCTTTAATCAGAATACAATTCTGAGTATTTTTCACTGAGAAAATCTCCTTATTTTTGCCTGAGTTCCTGATACTATGTTGGAATCATATCAGTGGAAAAGTTCAGTCTTTCCTCTACATAAGTAGATCTGAGTTCCATTCTCAGTTCTTCCTCCTCTTCCAAACCACTATTTATTCCTGATGATACAGCACACATCTTTAGAGCATTCATATGCATGAGCAGTCACCGCTTGCCTCTGGGGAGCTGGGCTGGGGATCATCAAGCTGTCTACTTTACATGGTGCACTTAAGAATGGCAGGTGCACTATGAAGTAATAGACAGAGCAGCATCAAGTTCCTGTCTGGAGAGATCCATTATCCAGAAATGTTGGAGGCCTGGAAAGGAGTGTGTGTGCCAAGAGAGGAGAACAGGCTATATGCAATAATGAATCGCTTTCAAAACTGCATTGTAATTATTTTGTGGTCCTTCCCGATTAACTGGTATAAACAAAATTGAAGGTTTAAAATGTGGCACAATGATTAACACCCCAGCATTTCACTTCTTTTCACTAGCATGGCAAACTATTCAAACTTACTTTGTGCTGCAGTATAACAGAGTTGCTCCACAACTTCACAAACTAGCTTCCATTGTGAGAGGGAATAAAACAATGTTAGACAAAACAAGGTCCTAAAAATTGGCAACTGTATAGCTTGATATGGGCAGTGCTCAGGATTATTTATCTATACATCCAGCTATAGCAGCAGTGGGGAACCTCTGAGATACCTCTCTCCATTGCTCCCCTCTTTTAAAGCCCATTTTTCCTAACACACATTCCTAAGCCTCAACTTGTTTCATGTGGATTTTTAAGAACACACATTTATACAGAGCAAAGCACACTGTTGAAAGTAGACAAAAGCGTACTGGTGCTAGCCATCCCTTTCAGCTCTGCTACTGCAACTGCAGAAGGTCATAAATTTCTAGTCAACCATTTGAAAACCTACCATCCCTTCGTCTGCCTGACACCGTCTGTCCCAATTCTGTTAGCATATGTTTCAGACAGCCATTCTGTCCCAAGTCTCCTTCAGAACATCTGTAGTGGGCTTGAACTCTGAAAGGGTGTCAAAGCAATGTGGCTGTGGTGCAGATGTCAGTGTGTGTTGAAACTAATCCATCAGCTGTCACATTCTGGCATTCAGGCTTACTGGGCATTTTAGCAAAGGGTTTTTCTTTGGCAAGATGATGACATGTAAGAATCTTAGGCTGTATACAACCAAAATTTTATTCTAGAATCAATGGAGACCGAATTGTTTTCCCTACATGGTTTTCCTTAAATAGACTGGGTTGTTTTCCTGACACAGTCCGCACACAAACCAGATATATCGCGTATATATTTTGCTCCTGAAAAGTGCTCATTGGAAAACTGTCATTCTGAAAATAAAAGTTCATTGCAGTAAGGTGGCAATCACCATTTCCTTCTTCATTCACCTGGAGCATGTGTAGAAAGGAAAAGCATGGATGATGTAATCAGGGAGAGGGTTTTAATATCAAG